TTAAAGTTTAGGATGGGAGTAAAATGACTATATTTCATTAAAGGTGACATCCATAAAAACATAGAGCTGATGACTCAAAGAGTGATAACACGAGGATCCAATTTGCCATGATGTTGATTGTGAACATGAACAAAGGCAATACAACTAGAGTCATTCAAAATGCGACTGGGCAACTTGTTGATTAAGCAAACAGTCATTGAAATTATTTATTCTCAATATGATTTTGGCACTGTCATATGAACTAGCAAAGTTATGGTAACTTCCAAGAGAAGATAATTATCTACATGTGACAACTCATGAAAAACTCATTTTTCTTCTAGAAATTGAGACAAATTTTGGTTCACATATTCTTGTCTAGTATCTATCTGTAAACATATAATTACTAGTCCAAATTGAGTTTGAACTAAGTGAAAAACATTCATAAATAATTTAATCACTTTTGTTTTATCTTTAATAAAAAAAACTTCAAGTAATGATAAGTCTGTAATTAGGCCCTATTTTACAGCCCATATATTCATATTTGACCTTTATTTTAATTGGAGTTTACACTAATTTATATATTAATTATGTAGATTGGTATAAAGATGCCGCAAATAGACTTTGGGTGCGTTTTGGGCCCAAATTGATAGAAGATTAGAGTTTCACAGCATTCAGCACGCCCAGACCCTTTCAACAAGCACATGAGTGCTTCGAGCCCATGCACAGTCGTGCTTAAGGCCTTGCATGACTGTGCTCATCTGCAAAAAGCCCAATTATGAAGAGTCTTTAGGGTTTTCAAACCCTATTAAAAGGACACTTTTTTGACAATGTTTTTATTTTGACTTTTGCTCTGGGATACGTTTCATCTCGTCTCTCTTGCATGGGATCTTTGGCATACTCTTGGCAGGACTTGGAGCTTTAAGCGACCATACTTGAAGACTGGGAACTAATCTCATTCTAGTTTGCTTTTCTCTATGACTTTGTTTATGACTGTTTTAGTTCTTTTCTTTAGCATGAGTAACTAAGTCCATAGTTAGGGTTATGGGAACTATCGTTCATGAATTTATGAGATTTTGATGTTTGAATTTAAATTTGATTTTCGTTTTGTGATTAAATTTTATCCTATTGCGCTTCTTTCTTAATCCCAAATTAATTATATTGTCAGACAACCATACCTCGGTTAATTAATAGATCTATAGGGTAAAATGAGACAAAGGATTAGGTAGATCAAACCAATCTTTCTCTTCTAATCATTATTAAATTAACAAGTTCATAGGTTCCTTAAGCTTTTTTAAATTGATGTTTTGCATGACCATTGAAGATATTAGTTTAGAGAAAAGAATATTAATATTGCATGACCATTGGATATTAATAATATTTGTATGAATGATTGATAATCACAAGGAAATCAAATTTAGAGTTAAATAGAAAAATAACATAAAAGATTGAATGAGAAAACTTATATACCCTAAGTTCTTCTCCGATAAGTTTAACCAAGACGTGCATTGTATTCCTTGCTCTTAGTTTTATAATTGATTTTATTCTTGTTGTGATTAATCTCGTATCTTTGAAGCTTAAACAATTGATTTAGAAATTTTTTAGTAATTGAAAATTAATCCTTGTGGGACGATATTTTGAGAACTTGATTTAAGAACCCTTTATTACTTCTCAATGGGTATACTTGCCCTCCGAACAAGTCACATGTGTGAAATTATCATAAAAATATACAAAGAATTTAGCACCATAAATATTAGCAATAGGAGCAAGTCTCCATAAATCAGAATGGATAAGATTGAAAGGTGAATTACTTTTTATAAAACTATTTAGAAAAGTAACATAATGGTGTTTAGTAAATTGACAGACATCATATTTAAAAGACTCAACTAATTCTTTCAAAAGCAATTGAAGAAACATACTCTTGAGCAAACTAAAAAGTAGATAATATAGACACATATGTTAAAGCCAAATTTGAAAAAAGTTATACAAGAAGAAGGCTGGTTACAAAAATTGACCTTCTTCCAAAATTGTCTTGAACTTTAGTTTTTATTAACAAAAAAAAATAAAATATAATCATTCTCATTCCTTGGCAACTTCCTAAGGCAACATCCTAAAAAACACAATGAGATTAAAAAAAATATTACTACACAATTTAAATCATGGTTAAGTTTATGAATGAATCACTCTATCATTCATATATTACATACATAACCATAAAATTAAAATTTTCATTCTATTTATTAAAAAAACTAAAAACAAAAAAAATATTTTTCTCCAAATTATTTGAATACCTTCAAAATGTTTGCTATCATTTTAACATACATTTCAATAATGTTTTTAATTTCAATTTTATACCCGAAAAAAAAATTTATTTTCAAAATTGCAATTCTGATTTCCTCGTTGCACTAAATAAAACATAGGAGCATAGATCAATATTTGTTAAGACCAATTATCTTAAAACTTATTTTTTTCTTATTTTCTCTTTAATAAATAGAACATAAAAATTTAGAATAAAATAGAAATTGATTATTGGATAATTTAGGGTAACTAATTTTATGTATGTTACGAGGTACTAATACATTTTCCATGTGTAATTAGACTCTTGATCTTAAATTTGATTAAACAAACTATTTTCAAAATTTTTTAAAGTTCTTTAAAAATTTTAGTGAAAATTCCTTGAATCATTGTTTCTCTCTTTCTCATTTTTGATTCGTCGTTTTTTCTTTTTCCCATCGCAACCCCGATTGTAATAATCATGTGAAATTGACCAAATACAAGACGATTTATATATACATACAATTTTTTAATATATTTTTCTTAGGACCTATCATTAATTTTTATCACACTCTTGCTTAATTACTTTATTATTTGGTATTAATATCTACTTTTCCTAATTTTCTCATATGATATATTAAAACCTTTTGTTTTTTATTTACATATTATGGATGATTATGCATTATTTTGTGTTTTATAAAATAAAATATACCACACCAACTACCAATGCCATCCACAAAGAAGTGTATAACACTATAAAAAGAAAGCATGATTCCACTATTATCCCTTGTTGATGAATAATGATTCATATCTCAAACTCATGCTAATCACTTTCAAAGTATCATAAAGAAGGAACAAATCATATCTTGGAGAATCCTTATTATTGAAGAAGGAGAATGTAGTGAAACTTGAGAAAATATTGAGAGGTGTAGTTAGAACTTGTGCTGTCAAACAAGTGAAAAAAAGTAACATATCTTGACCTGCAAGTTTTATGCCAACACAAAACAAATGGCATTTAATGGCCTAATCACTAAATCATTTGTTTGTAGGAAGAAAATACCATTTGACTTGAGCACCATCATTGAAGTTATCCTAACCACAACAGATATGAATAAGTATTTTCTATATTTTCATTTAGTTTCATAAACAAATAGATTTGATAAAATATTAAGGGTTCTATGTAGGCCTAGAGCTTATTGAGTCTTAAATACTTCTAGAAAATCTATAGAACTTACTATTAGTGATCTCAACTTCATTCCCAAAGCTTGGTGCAACTTTTTTATTAGCTCTCTTATGCTTGCCCCATAATAACTACCTATAACCATTTTATCACTCGTTCATCTAATCATATTCATCCACTTTTATTTTATTTTTCTTTCAATTTTATCACTTTGGTTTGATTATATAGTTATTACCCAACCCTACATATATTATAAAAAAACAATAAAGAGAAAAAAACTATGAAAGAGTAAAGTGAAGCTAAGTTGAGGCCTAATTCCAATTTATAGGAATACGTTCAAAATCTTATAATTTAAAAGGAATTATTGATCATTTTTATAAAGTTTATAATTCAAAAAACCTCCATGAAATATAATAAATGCACTTAAGTTATAAAATAAAATGTTTCAATTGAACTACATGCTAGGTTGAGACAAGAGGTAATAGACAAAGACATCAAAGTTGCTCTTAACTCTTTAGAGCATTAAAAGCACTTAGGTTTGATGGTTACAATGGTATATTTTTTTTAGCAACATTAGGATACAAATAAGTGTAGATGTTTGTGCAAAATACTAAGATTTTTTTTTTTAAAAGGAGTTATTAAGAAGATTAATAAAACTCTATTATCTTTTTAGCTCAAAGTTCTTTAGCTTAAATCTATAAATCATTTTAGGCTCATTAGTTGTTATAACTTCGTAGTTAAGCTGATCTCAAATATTATAGTTTTAAGAATGAAGGATTTCATGAATAACTTAATATCTCCCCTAATAGTGATAGAGTGCTTTTATGAAAGGGAGGCAAGTTTAAAATAATGTTAAAATAACTCATGAAATATTTCATACTTTAAAGAAAATAAGTGTTGTAGGCAAAAATAGGTGGGCACTTAAAATAGACATATGACAAGATTCTATTTGAACTAATGATGTCTTATTTAACTTATTTCAAAAGGCAATAATTAATGAGAAGGGTTGTTTAATTGGCATCATTTTACTCCTCTTTCTTATTACTATCTTTCAAAAAGCTTACCGTTGCTTTACTATTTTCAAAATTTATTTTGTAGTTTTTGATTAAGAATTAATTTAACTAAATTACGTTTTATTTTTTAAAGATTTGTTGATCTATACTTTAAAAATAAATTTATAAGAATCTTTGAGATACAACTATAGGATAATATATGTAAATATCTTGACCTAGCAAATCAAAAGTCAACACTCAATATATTAGAAAAGGATAACTACAAAATTAAAAGGATGAAAAAAAAACTACTTAATCAGGAAAGAAAGAAAACACTTCTTAAGGTAGTGCTGCAACCTCAATTTTATAACATAGCATTATTAAAATATAAATCTCAAATTTTATTAGTCCTTAAGTAGAGAATTCTTAATTTCCTTAAGCAAACTACGGGATATTAAAGAACCTTCCAAATAGAAAAAAGTAGCGTTTTACGCAGCACATCAGCCTTCGGGCTTAGACCCCTTGCTGGCCTAGTTGAATTCCAACCTTATTTATTTGGACCCAAAAAACCAAAAAATACGCGTTGGGACAACCTAAACATTAACCCTAGGTTCATTCTTCGCCTTCGTTCTGCTATTCCATCATTGCTTTTCCTCCACCTGCAGATCCCGATCTGCAACCATGGCTTCGAGAAAATCCGATAACCCTCACTCCGGCGACGGTGCCAGCCCGGGGTTCGTTCCTTTTTCTTCTTTCTTCATTTTCCTTTGTATTTCCCCCCGCTTTCGTTCTCATTTCCCATTTTGTTACAGGAAAATCTTCATCGGAGGGTTAGCCAAAGACACCACCCTAGGTCAGACACACCATACCCTTCCCTTTTATTTTTTTTAATTTTTTATTTCTTTTTATATACTGAACGATTCGGTTGGGTTCCGTTGCAGAGGCTTTCGTTAAGTACTTTGAAAAGTACGGAGAGATAACGGATTCCGTTATCATGAAGGACCGTCACACGGGTCGACCCAGGGGATTCGGTTTCATCACTTACGCGGATCCCTCTGTCGTTGACCAAGTCATTCAGGAGAACCACATCATCAACGGCAAACAGGTAGCGTTTTCTCTACTCTTTTTTTTTTTTTTTCGTTTTGTCGTTTTGGTTTGTTTATGTGATGGGTGAATCGTCGTTTTGCATTCCCTTGACAGGTTGAGATTAAAAGGACCATTCCCAAGGGTTCTTCACAGGCTAATGACTTCAAAACGAAGAAAATTTTCGTCGGTGGTATTCCAACATCAGTATCTGAAGGTTTGCTTTCTTTAATTTTATAATCACTATACTGTCTATTCTTTGTGTGTGTAGTTTTAGAATAATAGATTGAAAACTCTAATTCGAGAAATTCAGCTCCGGATCTGTTAGTTCCTTTTACAAGGTACAAAGGTCTCAAGTAAGAGTGTGTTTGGTTTTTTAAAAAATAGTTTCTTATTTTGAATAACTTCACGAGATAACATTTGAGAAATTTAGAGCATGTTCGATTTTCTTTTTAAAAATAAAATATAGTACAAATCAAACATGCTCTTAAGTCATTATTTCTTAAAAAATAATAGTTTCCAAACATGCACTCGGTCTCAAAAAATCACTAATGTTTGTCACATGAGTGTTTTAAGCACTTGACACTTTACTCCCTGAAAATGTCCGACATGATTAAGATTTGTGATTTTAAGGAATTGAGTCGGATGGATACTCCTTTTCTTTTTCCGGTTCTGTGAGCTTATTGTGATTTTTTGTTGCCTTTGGTGTATGGATTTCAGATGAGTTCAAGAGCTTTTTCTCAAATTATGGGAAGGTTGTGGAGCATGAGATTATTCGTGATCACACTACTAAGCGTTCTCGGGGCTTTGGGTTTATTGTTTTTGACAGTGAAAAGGTTGTGGATAATATGCTGGCAGATGGGAACATGATTGATATGGCTGGTACTCAGGTGAGTTCTTTTTGGTTTCTTAGGGTGTAATCTGGCAATGCTGCTTATGAAAAGAAGGGACCTGTTACAATGTTAAAGGATGTGGTTATGAACAAATTAATGATTGGTCTTCCTAGTGCTGTATGACAGTGTTGTGTCTTTTTCTTGTTAGTTTATTGATGTTGTTTGACTTATAGAGTGGGCTTACTACAGGTTTAATGTTTATCCACACAGGCCAGGCGAAATAATATTCTGCTTATGAATGAACCTAGGTTGACTCACTTCTTTGTTGTAGGTTGAGATCAAGAAGGCTGAACCAAAGAAATCCTCAAACCCAGCTTCTCTTCCTCCATTTGCTAGTGACTCTAGGGCACGTTCTTACAATGATGGTTTCGGTGGATTTGGCGATTCTTATGGAAGTTTTGGTGGTAGCAGTTATGGTCCTGCTTCTTATAGGTCACTTGGAGGTTTTGGTGGTAGGCTTGGTGATTATGGTGGGTATGGAGCTGGTGATGACTTTGGTGGTAGTTTTGGGGGTTATGGTGGTGGTGGTGCTGGTGGCTATGCTGGTTTTCGAGGAGAATCATCATTTGGCTACTCTAGTCGCTATGGATCGTACATGGGGGGCCTTGGTGGTGGATATGGTGGTGGAAGTGGTTTAGGTGCATATGGACGAGGCAGTGGGGGTTATGGAAGCTATGGTGGTCCAGCTGCTAGTGGGGGTTATGAATCAGGCGCTGGCACTGGTTATGGTGGAGCAGGAGGTGGACTCTATCCTAGTAGGGGAAGCTATGGTGGCAGTAGTCGTTACCATCCTTATGCAAGATAGTTTTATTACTAAGCTTTCCAGTAGAATGTGCATGCAGGTTTAAGCATTTTCTAGACACAAGGCACTTACTGCAGGTGGCCATTTTCTAGAAGCCAGAAGAACCTCTAGCATGTCTGTTTTAATCTATTGCTTAGACAACTGAAGGTAGAACATCATCAGTCTAGAGCTTTCTGAGCATCATCAATCTAGAGCTTCCCATCAGTTATCAGCCTACATGATTTTAGATAGGCACATATTATGCTTTTGTGATATTCAGATGTTTGCAAGTTAGATTGTCAATTCTGGACATGAAATTTAGTTAGAACTGCTGTGGAGTTGTGTGAATGTGTATTATTGTAGGTTATACTTGGTAGAATTTTGTTTGAAAGAGTTCTTGTTCTTGATCTTTCCATTAGTTATGCTTGGTTAGCCTATTATTGAAGATGTTGACATAACCTTTACAGGTTATACTAGTCACTACAGTTACTGATTTAGATCATATGTCATATGTGTGATAGTTCTCAAGTAGTGTCAACAGGCTTGTGAAATCTTTTTTCTTCCTAAAGGGTTGTTTTGATACATCCCTTGTTAGCAATCATAAATTGAAACATAGAAAAAGGCGGGACTATCCATCTGAACTTTTATTCTAAGACCTTTAGATTTAAGTGTTTAGCATTGGAGGATAGATATTATATATATATATATATAGAGGCTCCACGGGTAGATAAAACGAGATACTTCCCAATGTCAAATGGGCATTTTTTATATCTTGTGATAGTCTAAATTTGGACATTACAGGTTGCTTGTCTTTATTATTTTTATTTAAGGGTGATGCCACTAACTACTAGTCCAGCATTCTTCTTCATTTTCTTATAGCCTTGTCAATTCTTTTTGCCCGAGCGGTAGCCTGGAATGTGGTCAGCTTTAATGATGACTGACGAATCCGTTAAATTCCTTCTAAAGCCCTCATAGCATAAACCCTTTTTGTTGGTTCTTAAAATGAGTTGTGGAGTTTGAGGCTACTGCTACCGCGTGGTGCCTTTGGAAGCTGTATTGGCAGTCACGGATTGTGGTCTTTTTTGTTTGGGATGGGAGACTATTTTGTTTCATTTTTCCCTTTCAAATGTTTTGTAATCAAACTGCGGATATATGTGAAAACTCAGAAACTTTGTTGTATTGTTCTTAATCTTGGTATACAAATAGTGGAAACTTATTGAAAGAAAAATGCACAGCAATTCGGCACAGCAATTCGGTTTTTATTTTCAATTTTCAAACGGGCTCAAATTTTTATAGGACATCATTGTCTTTGTTGGGCTTTTAACATTATTAATTTCCACATCGATTCGTTTTTTTTTTTTTGTTGATATTTATTAATTTCTTTGTAAAAATTAGTAATCAAACTTTCTGAAGTTTTAATATGATCTTAATATATTTTTTGGATAGTAACGAAAGCATTTTTATTTTAAACGAGATCAAATTTCAATCTGTCAGTGAAATGTTTGTGCAAACTTAAGTGGTAGTAGTGGTTCATAAACAATGCCAAGTCTGAAATTTGATTTAGTCACGTACGGTTAAAACACGCTTTGTAGCAAGGTAGTAAGGCTTAGTTTGAGTGAACTTTTAGGAAATTAGTATAAAAATGAATAATTTTTTTATAAGTTTCAAATAACTTATTTTTTAAGATTTTAAAGAAGTTAGAGAGCTTTTATAGAAATTGTGAAAAAATGAAGTATAAATTATTTTAAATTTAAGAAAAATATTTTTTTCTATATTGATTTTTCCCTTATGATTTTTAAAAGTTTATCTAAGTAAAATATAATTAGTTTAAGTCTTAATTTTTGTTCAAGATAAGTTATTAGATTCTAAAAGTATCATTATTTTTATTTTAGTTCTTATAAAAATTTTATTTAGTTTTAGTTCTAATACAAAAAGGTAATTTTAGTATTTGATGGTTAAAGTTATGTCTTTTTTTTGTTAAATATATAATTTTTGTCAAAAATAAGGAATAAAATTGAATAAAAAATTTGAGTTAAAATTAGAAGGTATAATATGTTTAGGGACTAATAACTTATTTAAGTTTTATTTTTCTTTCAACCATATTTTATAGAATTATTTTCATATAAATCAAGAAGTGGATGAAATTCGGTTGATTTATGGTTTTGTATGGGTTAATCCTGAATTGGATAATGGAGTGACTGTGTTTAAAAAATATAATTGAACAGGGTAATGAAATCTGGGTTCAAAAAATGTAAGGTAAAATAATTTACATTCAAATTACAATTATAATGACAAGGAGAGTAAAAAAGTTAAATTGAAGAAAAAAAGAGAGAAAAAATTATCTAATCCAAGCAAAACCTATAAAAAATTTCTTTTAGTCAAATTAGTATGTTATTATTTTCGGTTAAATTAAAATGAAATTTTACTGAAAGAACGGAGGTTCTAGGAATTATTATAGGTGTTCGTTCGGAAGAATTAATGATTTTTTTTATTGAATGAAAATAAAAATAAATTTTTTAAAATATTTAATGATTTTTTAATTATTACAAGTTTTTAAATTAAATGTATGCCATGAGCTTCTTCTTTTTTAATTTATTTATTGAATAAACATTTGATTAAGCTACTTATTCAAATACATATAGATGGTAATTGCTGCCAAGATTCAAACCTTAAACCCAAATCCTTAATTGCAACCGGAGATTCATCGTTCACGTCACAAACGCAAACGCCAAACTTAGATTTAGCAGAAATTAACTTTACACCGATAAAAATAATTTGTATTCAAGGTTTGGAGCTAGGTTTTAATTAGCATTTTTACAGCCATAGTCTTAAAGAATTAATGTTTTATAAATGGATCGATAAGTGGATGAAAACATTTGTTTATGGTTTAACTAGTTTATCTTGAGTTTTTTTTTTTCATAAATAAAATTTTAGTTGACTTTTGTGTAATAGTAAAAATAATTTTAATCAATTTTTATTTTTAATCACTAAACTCCTGTGCATATTTCAGTCCATTGTAAAAGTTGATTATATTCAACTTTAATTATCTTGTAAGCTATGTAATATTTAATTGTAATAAACTTTAATGAAGACGAGAGAAGTCAATTATAATTTGACTTGAGTAAAGATAAGAAAAATTGATTATAATTAACTTTTGAAGGAGTTTAAAGTTGACTTTAATCAACTTATACCATGAAAGGTAAGAGAAAAAAGAAAAGAGGTGGAAGCAAATATTTTGAGACAAAGAAGACGGTCTAGTGTAGTTGCCATGAAAATAGATAATTATTTATACTAACTTAATTTTGTTGATCATATTGCAAGTAAACTGAAAGTGTAGGTAATTTTTTTTAATTATTTTATTATATTTTAATTATTTATTTAATTTAATGTGTCATTAATTCTTTAATTGTTTATTTATAAATATTTATAAATGTTAATTTAATTATTGTATATTTGATCATTTATTTGTTATATCTATATATATATATATATATATATATATATATATATTATAATGTAATATATGATGTATATTTATTTATTATATATACAACATATTATGTCTGTTATATATTTAATTAATTGTTTATTATAGAATTGTTAATGTATTAAATAGTAATATTTTTTTTATGTAATTTACTATTTATTGCAATAAATTAAATAATTATAGTTTTAGATAAGCAAATATTTAAATTGTAACTGGGTGAATTTTAATAAATTTAAATTTAGTAAGTATTAAATATAGTTGAAGAGTTTTAATTTAGTAATTTAATTTTTTTTATTGTGTAGAGACTTTATATATTAAGATAATCTTATTTTAGTATGTTTTTGATGTATGATTTACTTTTGATATAATTTTAATTTTATAAATTTTCCAATACTTTATTTCAATTAACAAAATTTAATGAATTAGATTCTAGTTTTTGTTAAATTTATTTTGTGAGGTAGTTAATTTAAGTTTAATTTTATTGTAATGTATTTATTTCAATTTCATATTGTATATGAAAAAATATTAAATAATATCTTGGTGTAATTTTTATTTATTTTATATTTAGTTTGCAGAAGTGAACATTGTGTGATATATAATATTTTTTTTTATCATATATGATACTCAAATTTTATAAATTATGCGTATAATATGTTTGTTCCTCCAAATTTGAGAATGGAATCATTTATCAAGTAGATTGATTTTTGACGTGTGCAAATGGTCCTATTATTTGATTATGATAGGATACTTACTGGTGCACTTATGAAGTATTAGAGGCCTAAGTCACTCATTCCATTTTCTGTACGAAGAATATATGATAGGATGTTGTGTCAATGGACTCCGTATGAGTGGGCTGCATTAGAGCATGGGAAAAATTTTATGATCGGGATATATGTGCATTGTATGCAGATTTATTTGGAGTAATTTTGAATGAGAGAGACATAAAAAGATTCTTTGTAAATCTACATTGGTTCACAAATATATTTGGAGCTATTTCTCAATGTTAATGACTACATTATTGTCCATTATACTAGAACGTACATATTAGTTCTATTTGGTGGAGTATTATTCTCAAATAAATCAGGATTTAGGATTCATATGAAGTCATTCCCTCTTATTGATTTTACTGGGACTGTAAACTATAGTTGGAGGTTTATCGTTTTAGGATCTCTTTAATGTGCGCTTTGTCGCTTGGTGAAATACAATGTCACTAAAATTAAGTTGTTTGCCTCTTTTACAACCTTGGACATGATACAAAATACCTTAATTGGCCCTTAGACATTATCATCCGCTCACTTTTTTCACTAGCTTTGAAGTACATATTTATGTGAATATTTATTTTTATTTTTATTTGTTTATGTACTTTTGACTTTTAATTTTATGTACTTGAGCTTAGCATAGTTACATGTGTCGAAAGATAGTACACAATAAATAAACAACAAATTTTCCTTACGAAAGTGGTGACATAAACAAATATTCATGAATAGATCTTAACATATTCATGGTAAGAAATAGACTAGTATATATTTAACTTAATAATATTACTCTTAGAACAAAACATAATGAACCAATTATGTTGGCTAGAGGATGGAGCATGCGAGCATATTTGTCTAGTGTGATTCTTACCTTTACACAATGCACAATGTTTTTCCTGACTCAGATTTGTCTCGTCTATTTGTTGTGAATCCTTGTGGAAACTGAATGACTCTAAAGAGTTCACTAAGTGATTTGGCCATATAGGAAGCCTAGTGTATAACAACCACATGTCTTCGTTAGAAATAAAAGAGAATTATACTTTATACATACTGAACAAAGACTCCATAGTGCTTCACAAACAAAAGAGGTGCATGACGACATGGATAGTGCAATTTTTGAAATTTCTCACAGTTACACCATCGCTTTGTTAAATGCACTCTGAATTTCCTTTGACGATGAGTTCCTATGCTATCTCATTCAAACATCAAGTGCTGTAAAGTATCATAGGTCACTCAAGTGGTACTCATGCTGCCAAGTGTAGCCTGTGCTCCTCAATTGCATTCAAAAGGGCCTTTAAAAATTTTTGGCAACTTGCAAGTTACATCTTTGCCTGTTGCTCTTTTGGATGAATAACTTAATAAGGCGATAATATGTTGACTTTACCATAAATGTAATGAAAAGATTGTGGTGCCTTTCATGACAACATTCATACATTTGGATAAATTAGTTTTCATGTGCCCAAAGCAATGACCCTCATCGACATACCAAGCCCATTTATCACGTGGTATATTGTTAACCCATGCACACATCGTGTGTGATCCATATGGCCTAATGCTTTAAATTAGTACAAAACAATTATGCTTAATCTTTGCATATGTTGCCTTCATTAGCAATCATTTTGCACCTTTATTCTTGAACTTTACAACGAATTTGATGCTATGTGTCATACACAGTATGCATGATAAACTAAAGGAGGATAAAACCCACTCCCTATCGCTTCTAAAGTTGCTTTGATAGGATGATGCTATCAGATATGACAAAAATGTCCTCTTGGTGGTGTCACATGTCGACTAACATTTCTCAAGAAAAAAAAAGCTATTTTTTTTTGTCTTTTCCTCTACCACAGCAAATGCAATTGGTATGATATTTGAGTTTCCATCTTGGACAATTGCCAAAAAAGATGTTCCAACATACTTGTCACTCAAATGTGTTCCAT